TTTAATTTCAAAATGAATACAAAACCTCACCCCACTGTCTCTGTGCCACTCTGTGTGGTGCTCATTTCGCCGTTGCGCAATTTCTCTAGAAGATTCAAACTGGCAAAGCATACTGGCCCATCCTCCCTCTGGACATTCTTCACGAGATACAGAAGGGCGAAGATTCAACTGATCTGTGTACAAATATGAAAACTGTGATTATAAAGCACCACACTCGAAATTGGGTTATTCCATGAAATTGGAAAAATTTTCAACACAACTACCGAACAAGGCGATTTCATGATTTTTCAACAGAATTCAAGCTCAGGGAAACAAGGATTACGAGAAGATCAGACCATTCAACTGATCACTTAGAAACATTCGCAGTTAGCTATTGCCTTTCAAGATTGATGCATATTTCATAGTCTATCTATTTTGGAAAGAAGTCTTTTTTTAGATAAAAAAAAAAAGAAAAAAAAAGCAAATAAAAAATCTAGAGTAAACACATCCTACATCATGGATTCCTGCTATGGCATCTTCAAATTTATATGTGACCTGCTGGCTTTCTTGCAGTCTTCTACCGGAGCCAACGGTTAGTGAATTAGGAATACGCTGATCATTTGAAAAAAAAAAAGTTTCAAAAACTTCCGGCATATTGGCATCACTTCGTCATTGATAGTGACTTCAATTAGCAAATGAAAAACACGGTGCGACACATGAATTCCCTCACCCTTATATGTATGCTACTAAGCTTGGCTACGAACACCTTTTAAGAAGAGTATCCCTTTAGAGTGACATCACTAAAAAAGTCACACCACCAGCTCTATAAATCCTGTTTTTTAGTTCTTCTTCGGAGGTTTACTCCTTGCATGACTCTGCCCAAAAAACGTCGGTGGGTAATCCAACTACAGTGTGGCAAGTTTGAATGTGTGAGATCACAGTGGTCATGAGCCGCAGAGCGCAGACGAGAGCATCAGATTGAGACAGGACCAACTTCAAGTAGTCTGCCGGCCTTATTTAGGTAGGGAATTTTTGTTTTCAAATAATATAACAGCTGCCGGATTTTCCCTAGAAAACCAAAACAGCACCAACCTTTTGCGTCAGTGAATTTCCCCACCATAACATCATAGAGGTACGGCTCACGTTCTCTCATCTTCTCCTCCGAGAAATATTTTCCCTCTTCTTTCAATTTTTGCAGCATCAGAAAACGCCGCTTCTTCATCTGCAAACTCATACTTTATGACACTTGACAAAGGTAGTGAACTAGTTAAGAAGAAAACGAAAAAGTGCAGAAAACAAAACCACTCGCATTTTGAGCGTCAGGCTTCCGTTTTTCAATCTGAGCAACCATAAATTGAATGAGTGGGTCGCTTTCATCGCGAAATAATGCGCAGTCACTTGCGTTCATGTACTTGCCATACCTGTAATCTGAAAATAACACTCCCCTTATGTTTGACAAGAAAAAAAAGCAGTCTCATATTGCTGAGAAATGATTAAAAAACCAACACACCTTTGTAAAAACAAAGCCTTGTTGGTGGTCATGAGATCATCGAGAATACCGCGTTTATCACCTTCTGTGAGATCGGGATCATCACTTTGCTGATGTCGGTAAAAAACATCAGGCTTCCCCAGAATCCTTTCAAACAACGGCTCTGTCATTTCTCGGCGCAGAAACGCTCTGAAGAAGGAGTTCTTTCGGCAGGATCTCTTCTAAAGATCTTTCCTATTAAAATTAGAAACTTTAGCACAAACAACAAAGTGATTCATAGGAAACAATAGAGAACTGCAACTGAAGCGTACGATGTCGTTTCACGCGCTGCGGCGAACGGAATCGAAATTGGGGCGCAGAAAAGTGGGCGTGGTCTCGGCAATCGCAAAAGTCGCGCAAATTTCAACGCGGATAACGCGAGGCATTCGTTCACCGCACTGCGTAGTTGTGTTTCTTAGCGTTGATGGGGGGAGTGTTACAGTTTTCGTTTTGTTTCCCATTATTCCAAATAGCTCCGCACACTCCAAAGGTAACCCCACTGGGCGCAATGCGACTGGCCACCACGGAACATCGCGTCAAGATCACGGAAAAGCTCAGTTTCAGGACTAAGCCTTTGGGGAGGGGAGAAACTCCGGTATACGGAAGCAATTTTCGTATTCTCCGAGTTCGTCCCTGCTGCCGAAGGCCCTTTTCAGGGTTCCCTCTCCCGGGCCACATTGCGCCCCCACAGAGTTAAAAAAAATGGGGAAAATGAAGCGCACACTCGACCACGTTGGCAAAGGGGAACGGGCTTAGTCAGCTTCGTTCATAACTTGCGCCAAGGTGATTACGAAGAACTAGAGGATAAGGAGTGATGCGGTCGCGTTGCTTTTTGTTGCTGGTATTTATCTAAAAAAAATCCAAAAAATGGCAACGGGAAAGAATTGCCCCCGGTTGAAATAATCGATACGCATCTAGCATTAGAGTCCATAATGCTCACAAGATGGTGGGTCGAAACGACCTATTAGAGGGATTCGGTCCAATGCGAACGTTGACTATAAATCTGTCCTCCGACTAGCTAAACGATGCTCCCTCCCTCTAAAAAACGAGAAGAGCAGCGGTGCAGACCATACACCACAAGTGACGACGGCCTCCCAGTAAATCCTGTCTGAAGCCTAGAAACGCAGAGTATGGTTGGTCGTCTGCCGCAACCTTGTCTTCCCCAACCATGGGATAAGATCAGCGGAAAGCGTCCCCTGGGGTTAGGATAGATCTCCTGGTTAGTAACGGTTCATAGTGATAGCTGATTTTTGGTAAATGATAGTTGTAATTAGTGACAAACGATAGAATACAACTGCAACAGGCTAATCATTTCATTGGCAGAAAACATTTACATTTTGGAGGCCGTCGTCACTTGTGGTGCATGGTCTGCACCCGACGCTCCTCGTTTTTGAAGGAGCATACAACAAATGGCTGGTTCTTTGGTGTAGTATCTTGCAAAATGCAAATGAGCGGTAGTCAGTAATGATTACAACTTCCTTCAAAGGTATTTTTTATGAGGGGAGGTAAGTTTTCAAAACTACGAGATGGGTTTATTAAGTAACAAACGCGTCTGAGGAGTAAAATAGTCGCTTCCGTGAAAAAATTGTATTAATCAGAAAGTTTGTGCATTATGATGTAGAGAGAAGCTCTTGGTCTTGGATCAGACTTTATTGGCAGAATACTTACATAGGGAAAAAAAGAATGGATGAACACCGAAGAGCTTTGCGTAGTCCACAGAACTACCCGGAAAATCCATTCTCCAGACATCGTACACTCCGGCATTCGCAGGAAACACCGCCCGAGCTTCTCGTCTCCATTATTCACAGAAATGTGGTGGATCCAGTCGAAAGGAAAATAAGGGAAGCGCTAGAAATAAGGCAACAGAAGCCACCGATAAACAACAAGGAGGAGATGAAAGTGGCAATGAGTCTGGTATCAATATAATACGTGCACTGGGAAAGGAAACGTGATGAAGTCGAGTCGGTTCCCATATGACGTGTATATATATACCCATGAAACGAAACTCATGCCTACCAATTTCCCTCTTCCTTCCGACCACCCAAGTATCCTGTAGGTTATTGTTGTACTTATTATAAGTGCTGTGACTTATTGAAGTATGTGGTATACTGTTGTATGATTGCTTAAGATTCAGTCGGCCTGAAGAAGGGCTTATGCCCGAAACGTCGCCAATAAAGTCTGATCAAGAACAAGAGCTTCTCTTTCATCTAATGCTACAACATTCGAATCAATGAAGCTCAGGGAACCATCTATTTTACCTAATCAGAAAGTTATCCAGACATTCCATGTCACTGCGCCTTCTAGCGTTTTATTTTGTCTGAGAAATTCCTTTGAAACAGATTTTCCGCTCGTGAATCAAGTTTGAGGTATTTTGCACCAACAGCTTCTTCTGTGCGATACGCCACGCACATGCCTTTTGGTCGAAGGTGAGAAAGGGCCTAAAATGCCGCGCCAAAGCTAATATTGGCCGTATAGCAGTTGGAGCACTCCACACAACCATGCCATCACGAATGTATGATACCGCGGGATCTGTGAGCTTCTCTGTTTTTAAGGGGTTGTAATTCTTTAGCTACATTTCTACTGACAAGGTTTTCCATTCCAATTCGTAAACGTTGCAGCCAGTTTCGTGAACGTTGCTACGTCATTCTTGCAAGCAATTTCCTAGACCTTGCAATTAATTTCGGTTCAAATAAAAATTTCGCTGGGAATGAGTCGTGGCGAAACCGGTGCTAAATGGCTCCAATCTGGCGCCAGCGCTAAAAATGGAATGTCATATTCGTGATCAGGACGCTCGATAACCCTGGTAGGATATTTTCAGCGAAATTGCTGGGTTTGAAAAAAAACTTCGCCCGCCAGGGGGACTAGAACCCCACCTCTCGCTTTCGCAGAACAAACAAAAACTATTATAGTCAGGATTAGGTTTCAGCGAAATTTTTTTTGCCGAATTTGATTTGCAGGGTTTACGAGGAAGCTGCAAGCAAGAACGACGAATAGGGGTTTAGATCACCAAATTGGTTGAAACGTTTACGAAAATAGCGGAAACGTTCACCAAACTAGCTGCAAGGGTTACGAATAAGGCCGGGAAGCCTTGTAATTTTACGCAGACAGACACACAAACAAACCCAACTGTTAATATAATCAGAACAGCAAGCAGACCTTTGTTCGTTGCCCTCACTGTCTTGCAAGAAGGTCATCGCCCATCGCTGTCGAGCCCAAAGATACTCAAGCCATGCACCGCGTCCTGTGCTAGATTCTTCGGATGTAACCTGTGAAGAAATCATTGGAAAAGATTCGAATGTCCGCTTGAGTTCCCGGTTGTAGGCATCAGATTTGAGTCAAGCAAATGTGTGGTTAATTCAATTAAATGGAGGAAACGTGGATAGCGACGGACAGCAACGAAGGCATCTCCTCATTCTGGAGAGCCAAAGTTCCGAAGTTCGAACCCTCACAGACTATTGCGCGTTTTTGGCTTTTTTGGCGTGGATCGGTTCAGCCTATTTCAATCAGTGTGAATATCGGTCGAGGAAATCCTCGACGGGGGGTCGTATTTGTCAAGGTGGGTCATGGGGGTCGTACTCGTGGGGGTCAGTAACGTCAGTGGCATCGTGGTGCAGATAGGAGGGGAGGGTGTAGCGCAGCAGAAAACAAGGATATGTGAGAAAAAATGATATGAAATATCTTTTGCGGGTTCAGTCGCTGCGTCTCTCTACCTCCAGCAGGAGTATGTGGAAGTAAACCAAGAATTAACTTTTGCAAGGCAGGCAGATCGCACATGCTGACGAGGACTGGCGTAAGGCATTTCCTCCATCCTACCGCCCGCCCCCCCCTCAATACCTTGTTGAGGAACCTACGACTGTTGCTAGGGACCCTGTCGCAAAAACGACAACCGTGAAGGAAAGGCCCTGGGCAAATGAAGTTTTCTTTAGGTTATAGGAGTTACGAAATGTGTTTGCTACAATGCAGCTTTTGTCAACTGGTCATGATCATATAACACCTTCCAATCGATTCTGCAACTTCGAGTGCATGGCCTATACCCAGACAAAATCGGATGGTGACGATTGCCCCTTTGTTATTGGCATGTTGGAGGAATGTACTCTAGACACATTTCGAGCATTGCCAGCGAATTACACTTGCAATGGTGGAGAAAGGAGAAAGCTTTTTGCAGGCGCCGCAGAATCATGCCTCCGATAGATCCTCGACGGCCGGGGGCAATATTTTCCTCAACTAAAGGGCGCCGAAGCAAGCTAAACATACTGTTAGAGAACGCAAACCTTCCGCTTTCCAAAACTGTTTCCATTTTTTCAAGGTCCTACGAAATTGGAGAGATATTGCCGTCAAAAACTCGAATGAAAAATTCGGGATCCTCGACCAGGGTCGAGCGTGCGTTGAGGAATCCTCGACACGTCGCAGGAGGGTGGGGGTCGTATTGGGCCGCTGGGAGGAAGAGATTGGACCGGATTGATGCAGTAGGATCATCACCGTCGGAGGACAAACATCAAGATAACCATCCCTCCACCTCTTTGTTACGATTTTTGTGGTCGCTTGCCCTGCGCTTCGGAGTCCAGTGCTTTCTTCATGGAGCGATCGTCTTTATGGCCTTCTCATACCATGCTATCGCAGCAGTCAGGAGCATTCTGCATGACAGCCTGCTCCAACCACTAGGGGGTCAAGATGACTGCCTCTACCACGAAATGGTAGGAGAGGCTAGTCGTCTCGAAGCTGCTTCTACTTCTCCAGGAACAATTCCGCTCTGTGTGGAGGGTCCGTAACAGTGCCAACTTCACAGCCAAATAAGTGATTAGTATCGAGGCAGCGTCCACCCCAACCTGAAAGGGAACGTTCCAGAACACGCGGTTCCTCTGTCGAAGAACAATCGTGAGAGAGCTAAAGCAGCTATTCAGCGCCTACACACATCTTAAGAAAAGTGATAATCAGAAGCGAAGGTCGGCAGGAAAAAGCTTTAGAGCCTTCAATACTTCTCTCAGAAGCGGGTGTTATCGTGAAGGGACTCATGATAGCACCAACACCATGCGATCCTCTACCCCGACACCAGCCCTGATAGCGAATAGCAGCGATGAAATCCTTCTTGAGCTCTGGAAAGAAACAGAGCCGATACTAGACAGCCATGGGAAAAGCTTCGGGAGAGAAGGAGGGAGAGGAATACCTATACCTACTGAGTGATCCGACCGCTGACAGTAGCGTGATGATTCCCCCATAATCAATTTTTTGCGATCCCCGGCTTATCAGAAACTAGAAGACTAGAAGACTAGCGCTTACGAAAAGGCACGAACACTTTTTCAGAAGATCACTCTCTCGAAACATAGTCCCGTTGTTCCGTTTTTGAGGAGTTTGTACTCTGTTTTCGAGGGGGCGAGTTTTACACCAAACGTTCGCAATTTCCTTTATAATCAACTTTCTGTAGATATCTGAGGCCGATCAGAAACTGGAAGATCAGGGCTTACCAAAAATACTATGGCAAATAAGAAAAATAAAAAAGAGTCTATTTGCTCATGCTTACTGGAAGGTGAAGTGACTTAGGGATAAGCCATTCAATCGTCTGTGGTGAGTATTCACAGCGGTGGTTGATAGTCCATCCTCTCTTGCCACTTTGCCGTGCTATGGTACCTTCACATTTTGTGGCTGGTACTTCAGCTTATGACAATGGCCCCCTTCCCCTGCTCAAATACGATCCCTCTCGTTTATCTTTGCCCAACGGACGGTTGACCATGTTTGCGAGCAGTTGTCTTCGCTTGCTTCTCTATTTATGTCGCCGACTTCCCATTTGGCAGCTGGCCAAATGGGCGAATCGATAGCTTCTGACGTGAGGTATGCCTGAATCCTTCGCCGTTTGTGACGCGAAGCCCTGAATACACCAGGCTGTGGGGCTTCAACGCTCCGCCAGCTCGTCAGCAATTGGCTGCCTCAACCATTCAATTACTCTTGATCGCTATCTTCTATTATCTTCTAGGCGCTATGATAGAAAAATTTTCGTACAATTAGGTTGGATTTATCAGAAAAATAATCAGAGAGCAGAGCCATGAAGGTTCCGGGGCAAAATTCAGTCCTACGTGCTCCATGATAGCATTTTCTGAGTATTCCGATTTTTGGATACATAGTGGACACTTAGCTAACCACTCGCTCAGTGCCTTCCACGTTTCTCTCATATTCGGACGTGATATACCCAGATTCCATTTGTCGGTGCTGATATGTAGCGTCTTTTTCTTTACCAGATTGCCTTAGTAGAGAGTGAATGCATAACCAGCTTTGGCCAGAATTCATAGTCTAAGCAGCACAGGATATTCATTTTAGAGATTTCGATGGTGACCAATGATTACATAATTAAATGCTTGATCTGTGTGGAAGTACGGGTAACAGTAGAAGGTGATGATTAGTAATGGATAAAAGTACTGGTTCTAGAAGCAGACCGTTTTAAAGGCAATTCCCAGGATTAGCCCGACTAGTAGGAAGGTACACGAGGGAAGTTTTAGGTACGGCCTTATAAGAATGTTTCGTTGCTAATTGCCGGACTTAGGCTCGTAATCCATTACAAACTTGCAACTATCGACCCACGCTCAACGGTTCCCACCAGGGTCAACCCTACGTTGGTACAAGTACCAACGGGAAATCACGTGTGGGATTGAGGTGAAACTAAGATTTCGTGGGTAGTAGGCTGGGCGAGTGGAGGGGCGCAGAATAAAAATTTGCCGTTTCAGCGGGCGTATACCCCCCCGCTCGACGGCATTTTGGAGGAAAAAGTGGGCGGAGTTTGGTGAGTTGAGTGGTATCAGAATTAAGTACTATAGAGACGATGATGGTGGTCGAGGTGTCGAAAAGGGGGTCGTATCAAATCCACCTTGGGGGAGGGGGGTCGTAAAAAATTTTCAGAAAAGTAACAACGATAGGACCGACCCTGGTTCCCACCCACCACGATTGATGTAAAGATCAGCGTGCTTTCTCGAACGGCTGCTCTCTCGCGCGTTTTGTCTTCTTTGCCGCCTCTCTCGCCACGCCTACACAGCCGATCCGTTTGAAGACTGTAAATCGGGTTCGGGTGCTCTTGTTACCGTTTCCATTTGATTTCATTACAGCTCAGTCTACCTACGAGCACACGAAGCTCAGCTCAGCGCCTGCCTTTATTCAAACGATTTTCTTTGTCAGATCCCTCCTACTAGGCGACTACAACCGTTTACGGACGGCTAGGTACGAGTAGTCATGACTCCCTCCTTCTTCTTTGCAACAACTTGCTAATTTGAATATTTGGCTCATACACTCAATATTAACTGACAATTGGTTACTATTGTCTCTCATCCTACACGCTTCCTCTTCTCAATGTGGGTATCGGAGGTCCGAAAGCTGGGCAAGGCTGGCGTAGTGAAACAAGGTAAACTCTCTACAAAAAAATCTTTGAGAAATTGGGACGGACTTCAAAATATTGAAAGTCACAGATTTGTCGAAGACCATGTCATATATATAATATCTTAACGTATTCAGGTCACAGTCTTTCATATCAGATTGATTCTGCTAATTTCTGAATATTTCATGTTCTATCATACCCACATTATGATGGGGAGAGTGAAGAGGTGGAGATCAATTTTCGCAAGATTGGATTTTTGTGAATCTACAAAAAGCGATTTTAGTGTGAATGTGTATCGCAATTTACAATGAAGTGCTAAAACTGGTGATTTGCTCCTATAATTGTTTCTGAAACTTCATTTTGAAAGATCGAATAAGACTATGTAAATTGACGCAAGATACTCAACGGTTCTGAGCCAGATGTCTGGGCCTGCAAGGAAAACCCACACACAACAAACAAAAGCACAAAAAACCACAATGTCGATGCATGTCTAATGAATTATCAATGAAGTTGAAAGAGTAGCCTATTCGCCCTGGGTGAAGTAACGTATCAAAATGATGGGTGGGGGGGGGGCAGTGGCTAGGGAAGCTGTTAATGCTTTTGAAATTTTTTTGACTCTTTCCCGCTCCGAGACGCTCTCCGTCTTCCTCTCTAACCCAATTATGTAATATATCAGTTGTTTTTTTCCATTTACCCCCCTAAACGATTCTTTGCACAAATATCCCACAAAGGTGAGCAAGGAACAGATATCCTTGGCGACCGCAGGCTTTTTGTAGGTTTTTCCCCACTTCTCTAGGAGATGGCATGGGCACCTTCACTATTCTTCTCTGATCTCAGTTACTGCAGAATTAGTCTAAGAATGCTACAAATTTGTTGGCATTGTGTACACTTTGTTTTTTTTTGAAAAATTCAACGGAAGGTTTGTGC